TGCATGGATCCCCTATAATTGAGAGTTTAAATTAGTTAAAGTTGTGGACTTTAAATTGGAAACAAAACTAAAGTTCGTAAATTCAGTTCAGTAGTTGTTAAAAATAGTTTTTTTTTTGCGTTTTTAGTTTTCTTCCTATTAAAAATGTTTTCAAAATTGGAAACATTTCTACTGTTACAGAAGCTAATGGTTTATGTTAAGATAAACATTTGGGTAAATTAGGTTGACCAGACATCCTCTTTTTCCCAGACGTGTCCTACTTTTCATGCGTAAAAAAAATTGTCCGTGAGCTCTGGGCTGGTGCGGGAACCCCAGCAGATGGGGGCAGGGAGCCAGCGGGGGACGGAGCGACCAAACCCGACCCGGTGATGGTAGCCTAGACAACGGCAGCTGCGTGCTTCCCCCCATCTGCCTGATGGGTAGCATACCGCCACCGGGTCAGGTTCGTTCGCTCAATCCCGGACCAGCCCCCGGAGCTGATGGCTCTGTTCGAATGCTCGATCCAAAGTTTGCTCCTTTTCAAAAACCCAAATCTGGTCACCCTACAGTAGGTAAATATTTAACTACCAGGTTTTTCTCGTGTTTATTGTGAAGTTGGTCTTGGCTTGTTTAATCAAGTGGCTTAAAAAGTCTTAAATTGAACTTGCCTCGTGCTGTAGAAACCCTGATTAAAGTTGCTGAACCGATCCTGATATTATTTTTTAATAAAGTAATATTTTAAATGTGCTATTTTGTTTCTGCTGCTATATTTGTCTAAAACACGCCTGACATGTTTGGGCTGCTGGCAGCTCGTCGAAACATGTCGGTTATGTTTCAGACATAGTTTTCTGTTTTCAAAACAAAAAAGATGCATCTGATAATAGAATTTGATTTGCCATTTAGAGAAAAACAGGAAATAAATCACCCAGGATGTGTGAGCGGAGCTTATGTAAAGTGTTGCTGCCTCCATCTGTCTGGCGCTCAGGTCCAGGAGTTGCAGTCTCCACCCAGAGCCAGTCAGGTTGTGAGGGACTGCGTCAAAGCCTGTCTCAACTCCACCTATGACTACATCTTCAATAACTGCCATGAACTGTACAACAGACAGTACCAGCCTGCAGATGCAGTGAGTCCAACATAAATTCACCAGATTTATTGGGCAATCTTCCTTTTTTATTAACGTATTCCTACTTTATTTACTGCTGTTTTGATTTGTTACATTTTTGCTGTTTTATTGCCTTAATCCAGAACAAGGAAGAGCTCCCCCTGGAGGAGCAGGGCCCCAGTATCAAGAACCTGGACTTCTGGCCCAAACTCATCATGCTTATCGTCTCCATCATCGAGGAAGACAGGAACTCCTACACGCCTGTCCTTAACCAGTCAGTCATCTGTTTAAACACATCTTTGAAATCTCACCTGAATTCAGAGTAAAACTGGATTATTTTTAATCTGCTCTGCAGGTTTCCGCAGGAGCTGAATGTTGGAAAGGTTTCAGCAGAAGTCATGTGGATGCTTTTCGCTCAGGACATGAAATACGCTTTGGAAGGTCGGCTTAATTCACATTTCTGTCCCTGATTCTTTCTCATTTATATCCTTCTTCCTCCACAGTTATCTTAAAAAAAAAAAAAAATGGAATTATGCAGATTTAATCCCCAAATTCACAACTTCTGAGGGATAGAATAAGATAAGACTAATCCAATTAAAGTGAAATTTATTTAAAATTCAATTATTTCACAATTCTGGCAATGGTTTAGTTTATTCTGACCTTAAAAAGGAAATGAAATGAAATTTGATTTATTTTCATTTGGACTGCAATTCATTTTTAATGCAGATTATGAGAATATTTAGCTTTTCTATTATACAGAATGTTATGGATGCAGGAATGTTATGAATTCAGGAAATGCATGTAAGTACTTAATTATGTGTTATTGTCAGATATTATGGGAAACACTAGATAATCTTTAACCATAGAGGCACAAACTTCAACTATTCGCTGGTTTTATATGAGCTGAGATAGCTGTCAATAAAAGAGCATGTGTAGGTGTCCGTGTTAAAAGCCATGACCTTTCAGCTACATACTGGGATTCTGTAACGTTAATAAGTGACAATGTTTATTATAAGTGACAACTGTTTATTACCAAACAGACAGTATCTAAAAAAAGAAAAAAGTACTTTATTTTTTCACGTTTTCCACTCAT